GACCTGGTTATTTGCTGGAGTCCGTCTGCGATCCCTTGGCAGATGGCCAACTCCATCCAGGTCCTTACTCTCTCCGGAACCTCCTCAATGAGGGAACCCTCTTGGCGAAGGCCAGCGGCTGTTGGGGTGAAGGTGGCTTCTGGCGCCCTTCTGGCTGGCGTTCCGGGAGTCGGAGCATGTTGTCCTTGTGAGGGCAAACTGCACCTGGGTGAAAGGGGAATATCTAGAGGAGGGGGGGGGTTGAGCAGAGGTAGACGGACTGGAGGATGGTAAAGCCTGAGGCACCGGGAGGACTTCCCTGGCGCGCTTGTCAAATTCTTTTTGTAGTGCCTTGTGGCGCCTTAAGGCATCTCTTTGGGAGGCTTTGGAGGTCTCCTTAGCCTGCTTGTGCAAGTGATGGGTTTTTGCTTTTGCCTTCAATGAAGGGCCTTTGGAGGTGTTACCATCTGCCATTCTTATAGATTATATATTGTATTAATATGCCAGGAAAGACAATATGAGGCGGTTGGCACGCCCAGGGTCCAATCTGAGTCAAGATGGTTGCCCTGATATATACTTAACATCCCCCCCCTTTAACATCCCCCCCTATATAGGAGTCGTATCAGTGATAATAATGTAACGAATTACAATATTATACTGTACAGAATATATTATTATAATTATTGTTGATATTATTAAAATTATTAGTATTACTATTGTAAGTTAATACTAATACTGAGTTATGATTGAGAAAGGTACTACAGAGAAAGGTGGTATAATTGTTGCACTAGTGCTGCAGGAGCCACAGTATAGTTGCAACACAAATTGAGAGAAAGTCAACCAATTAGCCAAATTTCAATACGCCTGAGGCCCGTAGAAATAAAAATGGGGCCTACAGCAGCCTACTTGCACAGGCGGACGAGGCCTAGGTGCCTGCTGCTGTGCCGCTGAGGAAGCTGTGGGGATTAAGCCAACAAGATTCAGTGAGAACAAGGTAACCTCGAGTACAATTGCTAGAGAAAAGAGGTTAAAAGACTCAGAGGATCTAAGGGAATCCTTCTGTTTCGAGTCAAAATTCACCCACAGTACAGTAAATTATGAGAAAAAAGGGCCTGCTGTAGATAGCTCTGGTAATGCTCAGCGGCCTCTTCCCTTCGGGGAAAATGAAACCGAAACTCCAAGAATGGAGACGGTGAGAGAAGGGAGAGAATATCCAAAATAAGCTAAAATCGGTGTTTGGGGGGGGGGGACAGCGATATGACTCTCAGCAACAAAATGCAAACCGCTAGAACAACGGGGCTGCTGGAAAGGCAAAAGGGAACACAGCAGCTTTTAAAGAGGCAGAGGCACTATTTCTGGCTATGGGGAGGTCGCGCGAAGCCGCTACGGAGCCTCCCGCTGCCCTCCTTGGGGGCGCAACAGCGCTTCCCCAAGATGTATAAATGGACCCAAAAGACAATTGCGCAGAGGCTAAGGGGAGAAAAAAACGAATCAAACCTGAGAGAGAATCAGAATAGGAATCTTTAGATCGAAGTGGTGGTTCGGCCAAGGAGCACGCTAAAGCACTGCCTGTTTAGCACGAGGCTGAGCTAAAACTGGGGAACGCTACGGAGGAGTCACGTGGAAGGAGGAGGAGCGTTCCTTAATTCAAGCTCAGCCTAGCAATGCAGAGACTGAAGCAGCTCCCACTACTGGATGCTCTGAGCAGCTCTTAGGAGAATAAAGTGGAACAATGACTGATTACCTCCTTTTACCGATCCACAACAGAAAGTGTCCTCTCATATTGTATTACGGTGTGGTATGCTGGCTTGACAGCCATGGATAGAAAGACATTACAGAGGGTGGTGAGCACAGCACAAAACATCGTGGTCTGTTTTCTGATACCACTAGACGACATCGCTAGGGCTCGCTGCCTTAGAAGAGTGAGGAAAATTCTCAGGGACAACTCACACCCTGGTCAGCACTTCTTCACTCTCCTATCATCAGGTAGAAGATATAGAAGCATAGCCAGCCGCACCAACAGGCTGAAGAACAGTTTCTACCTGTGGGCTGTCAGACTTCTGAACAGAAAATAACTTCGTGTCAACATAGTATGATAGACTTGTGGGGCCAGAGCATTGTGCAACAAGGTCACATAGTGTAATAAGATTGGGACTGGGTTAGGGACTTCTGTCCTCACTGTGAGTTGTGTTGGGGAGGGGGTGCACAAAGAGAGGCTCAGCCAATCTCATTGTACACATGTTGTACTGACAATAAAAGGTAATAATAACCAAAGCTCAGCAAAATTCACCCAAGAGATGATTTCTCTGTAACTCAAGTAGCCCATTCCAAGTTTAACAACTCATACATATCAGCAGTAGAAATGAGCTAAAATTTCTTCCAAACTAAATGGCTCCACCTATTGCCAGATTGAATTTTACACCCTATTATGGGCTATTCGAGGAGCCCTTCTGAATCAAATGAGTTTTGATTTCTAGTCACAGTCTATATTTAGAATATATCTAGGTATAATTCAATTACAATATTACAGGGGGAACTGGGAGTGGGATAAAGGTAGCTAAAAACTATACAAAGCAGAAGGTAACAGTAGGTAACAACTGGAGTAGGTAACAACTGGAGTACCGGAGCATATTTAAATCATGAGACAGAAAAAACTAATAAATGTTTAACTATGAAATAGTTCTGAAGCTAGATTCTAGTGAAGTATTAAAATACTAAAATACTTAACAAAAATATGGTTACTAATAAAATTGTATCCTGAATATTTTGGGTATAATTGATGATGATTACTTAATGGCTACTTGGTTGTGTATTATAATCAGACTATAGGATTATAACACTGGAGGAGAGAAAGAGACAAAAAAGAAAAAGAAAACAATCCAAGGATGTTGAGCTGTCAAGTTGACTCTGAAGTTAACTGTTACCTAGTTTTAACTGCTGCAATGATAAATGTAGTTACAGTGTGGGTGATGTAACAATATTAGTCTGAAAGGAGGAAGTGGGTATAGAAACTATCCGTTCTCCCCAACATTAAACTATTATTATTGGAAACAATCAAGCCATAACAAGGAGAGTTTCCACCTATTACCGGATGCTGGGGAAGACATATCAACTGACCCTCACATGTGAATTCCCCCTTTGATATGGTGTGGTGGCATAATCTAGAACATGGATTGAAGGGACTTTGGATAGATTGGCTGTGGAAGAGAAAATCCAATGAATAGTCTGTATCTAAGCACCATAGAGTTTTATAGGCAATGATCAGCCCCACTATTTGTTTTCATCTGTCTGCATATAGATTGCCGCAATTTACACCAGTTGAAATTTTCATTTTACACATTTATCCATATTTAACTTTTTAAAGGGAAAATACCTCTACTAAGAAGAACATGTTGGTTATCCTATGAAAAAATGAAATGCTGTCTTTTTTGCATAAAAAAAGGTTATGTGCTGAACATCCCTGATAATTAACAATCCAGAATAAGCCTACAATAAAAAAATTTCCTTTTACTCTGTTATTCAGAATTAATTTAATCCAGAAGGTAACATGGTCTATGCTGCTTTTCAATATTTAATCCAGCCATTCCAAACACTGGAATTACCTGGCCAGAGATAAATATATTTTTGCTGATTGGAGCCATGAATTATGAAGTTCTTGACATCTGCTGGGAGTCATATTTGTCCAAACACATAGCTTTGAATCATAAATATGACATTTGGAAGACTCTATGGAATTCATCTGGTCTGCCATGAAACCCTCAAAATCATCTGGGAAGACAGAAGACTGCAAGCAACATATCCCTTCCAACTTTCTACAAAGATCCAGGTAATATTGAATGGATCGCTGAACAGGAATCCTCAGGCTCAGTAAATACAGAAAAGACAATGGTTTGCCACCATACAGAATCTAAGATGAGCTTTTATCAGCACTCAGTCAAATTCTGTTTGGGTATTCTGCCACAGTCATTCTCAACCATTTTTCAATAGCATTACCTTTTTCAGTTCCTCAAAAAACAAGATCAGCCTATCATTTTGCTAAATAAATAAATACTATCTTGTTGCAAAGTTATAGAATACTTCTTCAGATAATACATTTAATTATCTTTCACCTAGAATACATGGCACAATTGTTGCAAAATTGAAAGAATCTTTAATCTGCCTTTTGTACCGGCAAGGTAAGAGTTGCAAAGCATGTCTGCAACAGACCTTGGATAAGGTTAGGGTTAGTTTAGATAAAAAGTTGAATTCAGGCAATTCATTCGAGAAAGTTCTAAATTTATTCTTATGGAATGGAATGTCTGAAATCCTGATGTTCTTTCTTTGGCTTTATCTATTTATGGTTAGGAGATTTAAAACAAAGCTTTAACAGGAACAAATTTAACACAATAGCATCTATGAGTTCTGGCTCCTTTTTGGCATAATGTAATTATTTTGCTTTTTGCTGCTGGAACATAAATTAGGCTGATCACAGTTCTTCTCAACAATTAAACAACCGTGATTCCAGCAAAGGTAGATTTGGTATTAGTAGTAATTCTATATAGAACATACTATGTTTTCTCAAAAGATCAATAAAATTTGTTCCAATATATCTTTTTTTAAAAAAAAAATCTTGTTCACATAAAACTTTATCATATATTGCTAATTAACATGGTACCAAGGAAGAGATAAATATACAAAGTTCTTTAAAAGCCTGGATCTATGTCCCAATTTCTCAGCCTAATTTTTCAACTACTCCTTTGTTAAAATCAAAGATTCTAGCTTTGAACTGAAAGCATTCATAAATGAATCAGAAAACTGTGAAATATTTTTTTTCTTCAAGCTAATCCAACTGCAGACATAAGTAGCTATTCCGACTAACTATAAAATAATCATTGAAATTTACCTGTTATCTGTAGTAACTGTGTCCTATTTACCCTGTTTTGTTCAATTTCTACCATTAGTAGGAATAACTGCTGAGGCTACAATAATTATAATTAAAATGTGAACTGGGAAATGATGAAAAAAGTCCTGAAAATATTTACCTTCCAAAATCACAAAGTTTTAGAACAGCTGTGTCAGGGTCCAACAAAAGATTCTGTGGTTTTATATCCCGATGACATATTCCAAAGGAATGGATATAGGCTAAACTTCGGAATAATTGATACATATACAACTGCAACATAAAGAACAAATATTATGATCATACTTCCCATATCAAAACATTGGCAAATAGAAAATTTAATAAGACTTCTATAATACTTGAAACAATATCTCAATAAGTATTTTTTCTTCATAACATACACATTTATTTACTCATCTTACAAAACATTTTTTCACATTTCTTTTGGCACATAAGGTACAGTTCAGATGTTCTTCAACTGCAACTTCCAGTAGGCCACAACAAGCATGGCTAACTGTAAAGAATTCTGCATTAGGGAAATCAAAGCAGTTAGATGCATAGAAATTATCGCAATGATACAAAAATATAATAGTTATCTAATTAACTCCCATCATTAATATGTTTTTCTCATATTGGACAAAATATATTTCTGTAAAACAACCCTACTTGTAGAATATTAAGAACATGTCTTAGGAACTTCCGGTTTGTCGGCTTCGCGAGCGGCAGGGATTTGCGAAGCTGCGCGATCCCTGCCGCGCTAGCCGCTTTTGGGGCTCCGACCCAGACGGGTACGGAGCTAGGCTGCCCTGCAGGGGCAGCTGAGGTAGGGGGGATCCGGAGAGGGGTTTGGGGGTGTTGCAGACCCCCTCCCCGGCCGGTAGAACCCCCTTTTCCCAGGACGGTGCAGCGGCGGTCCGTAATGGCCGCCACAAAGAAGCTGGCAGCCGGGTAAGAATGCGCAGGAGGAAGTGGAGAAAGTGCTTGAAAGGAGAAAGTTTTTCTTGGCTCCTAGGACTCTAAGACATATTTAATAAAATTCCTGAAAAGTATGACTTTCTGAATAATACCTGCCAGAAGAGGAAAAAAGCGGCTGTTTGATGGTGCTGAAAGGATAGCTTACCCTCTTTTCCTACGGAATAAATAACTGGATATTAAGAAACCTATTTTTTTTAGGTGAAAATTGGTTTTAAGCGATGAGTGGGAAGAGAGAGGATTAAAAAGAAAATATTTGTATGCTAAGATTTTGTTGGAGGAGATGCCTTAAGGATTTGAAGACTAGAATATATTGCAATAAGATTTTAAACAGATTTGGACTTTCTTTCTCTTTGATTGATATTACCCCAGAAGGAGAAAGTGAGAACTCTGCCTTGGTTTGGACTGACTGATAACTTTGGGACTGCTTTATTTTTTTTATTTTCTTTGGAATACTCTGGTTGTTGTAAGAAGAAAGAAGGGGAAAAGAAAAGAAAAGATTTATAATGGCTTTCTCTGTTGAGGAACTAAGAAAAAAATATGAACAAGCAAAAAAAAATGGTAAAGATGGTGTGGAAGAAGCTTTCCTTTTTTTAGAAATGGCGCTTACTAACTATCAACAAACATTACAACAGATGAAGACAGCAGAGGAACAAGAAAGAAAGGAAGGAGCCATTTTTAATGAATCTCAGAATTTGATCAAGAAAGAAGGAAGAGAGAAAAGAAGAGAACTAAAGGACTTAAGATCTAAAAAAACATTTAAGAAAGGGAAAAATAAGGTGCAAAATCAATATGATGATAGTAAACAAAAGGGAAAAGGAACACGACAGAGAAGGGAAGCCAGTAAGGCAGAGGTTAGAAGAAGGGGGGGTAGAAAGGTTTGTTGGGAGAAGAAAGAAAGGGAAAAGGTGGAGAAAAGCTACAATGTTTTGAAATTAAATGAAAAAAAAAGGAATTTTTTATGGATAATGGATAAAGTATAATTTTTTCAAAAAGATTTTGCAAGGTACATAAGATGAGATGGTAGTATTGTAATGGTTTAAGAGTTGATAAGAGATTAAAATGTTAAAATGTTTAATAATGATTGGCTTTAAAATTTAATAATAGGGGAGGTTTAGAATACTGTTTTTAATTAAAGAGTTTAATAAGATTATGGTATTGATGTTGTTATAAAATTTTTATTATAGTATTTGTTTTTAATATTTGGATTTATTGTCTAATTATGTATTTAATTATTTTGGATGTACTAGTTAGATAGAATGTACCAAGCAAAATCGGATTGGGTATTGGATGTTATTTTAAAGGTTAATTTGATTAATTTAGGGGGGAGATAGAAAGGCATCATACTCTGATTAATGATTTCAGGAGAAACTTGTTTTCTTCTTTTTCATAAGGAATGAGACAAAGGGATGATAAAAAATGGACAAAAGATACAAATATAATGATTCAAACTAAGATGATTAATTAAGATAGAATTAAGAAGAGTGAAATATGTGGAGAAGTTAATATAGAAGATTTAGAATGGTAAATAAAATAAGTAATGATATGTAAGATGAGCATGAAGATAATTGAAGTCCATGAAGAGAGAGATACCTGGGTCCAAGTTACTTTCCAAAAAGATTTTTTTTAATGTTTTGTGTGTTGTGTGTATATGTTTTTTTGGGGGGGAGAATTAGTAAAAGCTTGCAGAAATATAGAATGAGAATAATGGTAACTAAGTCAGAAAGAAATAGATGAAATAATAATAATGATATTGAATAAGAGTAAAGAGAAGTAAAGAGAAATTGAATAAGAGGTTTTTGTATGTTATATTGAAATGGTTTAAAACAGAATCATAATTTATCTGACTTGTTAAATTTACAATGAAAAAAGGTTTAAACATGTAATGAATAATGATAATTTGTGTGTTTTAAAAATTAATAAAACTTGTTTAAAAAAAAAAAAAAGAACATGTCTTATATTATTCTATATAATATATAAGCTCCTCTGGAAAAAGCTAGCTAAATTTACCAACCAAAGCAACTTGGAATGTCTTATTCAGTGCAAACATAAAATAAATTATGGTTTTCCTGTTTGTTGGAATGTTTTCAATCAAAAGCTTAATAGCTACTATCAAGGATAATTTAGAAAACTTGTACACTAATGTTGATCCATTCTAACTCTTCCATTCTATGATGGACAGAGAGATGGATGGATGGATGGATGGATGGATGGATGGATGGATGGATGGATGGATGGATGGA